ATAATAATAATAATGATTTCAAATGAAATAAAATGCAATAATAATATTATTAATGTTATATGTCACAATACTAACCTTCCACCATCCATAGCAGCCAAAAGATCATTACTAAAATTAACATCAGTTTTATCCACACTATCTTTACCAACTAAATCGTCCATTAATTGTTGTTGTGGTTCCTGTATTGTAATTCCACATTCACGGATAACATTGAGGTATTTGCCAGCTAACAGTATTTTATTTCTAAATGGGATTAAAAATGGAGGAACAACATCTTCTTTAATAGTATATCGCATTTCCCAATAAGCATCATTGAAATCCTCTTTAAGATCTTCTTTCTTGACGCCTTTTCGTTCTTGTATCATAAATTCTTCATATGGATCACGAATTTCACCATTATGTATCCATGAATGCAACATTGTGACGTACGGTTGTGATGATTTTGAAAGTAAATACATGTAAAGCTTTTTAGTTGCTAGATCTCTGAGCATTAATAAAAAATATATATATGAGTGTATATATATATATGTATGTATGTATGTATGTATAAATCTAAGTAAATTACATATAGATAAAATGAATACTTTTTTACTCATATTAAAATGAAATTGTTGTTACCCGCTCAAATTAGTCATTTGTTCAATCAAGATACTCAATAAACCACCACCTTTAATCCGTTGGGGTATATTATTATTTTGATGAAAACCATCTATGATTAGCATATCAGTATCCAACTCCATCGCATCTTGTGCCACACTTCGAATATCCATGATTAGTGAATACAGATTTGACATTGTATGCAATGTTGGATGTACGTGAAACCAGAATTTCTGAAGAGTAAACGATGAGGAAGAACAAAACTGATGCTCGAGTTGAGTGATTAATATGAGATATTCCTAAGTGGTAATAATTACAACAAGTCCAGATTTGAGCTATAATTTTACTATGCATTGACATGGAAATTTAAAAAGTTATAGCTATTGAAATAAATATATTTACAAGTAAAGTACCTTTAATAATTCTCTCATTGCAGCACATAAAGCATGATTTACAAAACCGTACTCGAATTTTGAATGCATCTCAATGAAAGCATTGATGAAAGTATAATAAGTTGCAAGGGGTAAGATACGCTCGGTTAAGTCTTTTAACGACGGATCTGATAAATTTTATAAGATCAAAACATCATTAAAAATATGGAAATGGGTATTTACAAATAAATGACTTAAGCAAATAATATAAACCCAAAGATCCATCCACCAAATAAGTAACACCATCCAATTGTTCATCATCAGTAAGATCCTCAGATAAATTATTCGCTTCAATATATTTGCCCTCAATTCCCTATAATTAACTCAATCATGTAAAAGCTTTTATAGAGAATCATGCAAATCGCTTCCAGCATTTTGCAACTAACACTGATTAAGAGGAAGGTTCGCGTACCATCATAACAAATAATAAATCTTCTATTATAGCATATTGTTGCAATTCTAGGGGCAATGTCCCAATTTTTAATTCTCGATCATTATTGTCACGCTATTTATAGTAAAGAAAATATAAATAAGTAATTATTATATAAAGATTTATGTATTGTTATTTTTTAAAACAACTCGTACCGATGGAGACAGCTGACGAACTCTGGAATTTAAAGGCGCGTTTATAAAATCCTGTTCTTCGTGAAAGTATTTTGCTATGTAAAGGATTTTTTGTAAGTTGTCAATTTGTGGATAAATTATTTAAACACATTTTTTTTAAACACAAACCATTTATAAAACGTGAGGTAAATGGCGTAGACTTTAGTTGATTTGTGCGTGAGTTGACCGGCCGAATATTTGCTAGTTGAGCAGTGAGCTACTCATTAAAAACCGGTATAAGATTCATATTTAAGAATAAGCAAGAAAAAAAATTCATTATGCAGCCATAAATAAATTCAATGCCTTTGACATATCGGCGGATTTGCGAATCTTCAAAGTTATCCACCCAAAATTTTGTAGCAAACAAATATATATATAATTTAAGGGGTAAATAACGGGCGCGTTATTGGATCTATTTACCCCTTAACTATACATGTTGGCAGAATTATAAATTTTGAATCCCATCCAAATCCCAAATATAATAAAATTGACTCAATCCCAAATCCCATCCCAAATATAATTAAATTCGTCCCAAATCCCAATAGTTTTGCCAGCAAGTATATCCTTAACTGTTAAATTATCTTTATATGGATTCATTTTGCGGATAACTTTGAAGATTCAATTTAGAACCAACTCCGTAAATTCGCCGATATGAAAAGTTTTTACTTATTACCTTACTAACTTGTTGTTCAGTCAGTAATCCTTTTGCTGACGCGATCGTAGAGCCTTTATTTGAATATTCTTCGGATGGAATTGCAGTAAATGAACGCGGTCTTGGCTTACTCATTTTCAATAAGAACTAAAAAGTAAACTAGGTAATGTGTAGCATTAAATGTGAAGCTTATCATATGATTGATGTCATGAAATCAACCAATCAGTATCATGGAAGAGACCTAACAAATCGCTCTATATAATATAGAGTTATTGGATGCGAAGCAGCTAATAACGGAAATTATTTGGAAAATAATTTCATTATCTGGCTGTTAAATTTAATATGTCAGCTTCTGGGCCCCGAAGGGGCCCAGAAATGACATATTAAATTCACTGCCAGATAAACAAGTTATTGGCTGAGTAGCATTCAATAACGGTATTATCCGGTATCTTACGACGACCGAACTAACAGAATGACTCGAGTTATTTTGATGATGATTGCGTCATCATCAAATAACGAAGTTATTTGATGATGATGCAATTATCATCAAAATAACTCGAGTTATTCTGTTGGTACGATCATAGTAAGGTGCCGGATAATAAACATTATATATATAATTTAGTTATAGAATTTTTGTTGATATAGGCATGTTTATCAGTTATAGACAGCCAATAAATAATTATATATACCAAAAATTCGTTAGTTATACCGACAATCATAAGAGATATTAATTGCACTTTCTCTTATTGATCTCTAAGTGCACGTTGTTAAAGTTTGGTCCCAAGAGCGTGCACTTATAGAGGCTTTACTGTATAAAATAAGCAATGCTTAGCATGAAACGAATTCGGTTTATGCTTTTATGTTAAGCATAAGATAAATCAAACATAAAATGAATTCACTTCATGCTAAACGTAAAACAATTCGTTTTGTCTAAAATAAATTCATTTTGCTAAGTTTAATATTCTTAGCATAGGCTTGGTAAAATTTAACTATGTCTAAACCGACATATCTACACAATATCAATATAATGTCGGTATAGATAGAGATGCTTATTACAGTAAACTGACATCTGGATATCCATTGCTAGAGAGTGTCTATATAACCCGAGTGGCGTGTATAGAATTATCTGTTATTACCGTTCGAATCTGATTGGTCATTTAAGGACATTGTAATTTGATGATATATATATAACTATTAATACGCATATTTTAAAGCATAACAATAATTTGTAAATTTTTGATGAGGACAATCAGTGGCAAGCGTGTTCCTCGAAAAGAAGAAAGTTAAATTTTTTAGAACTTACAGCATAATTTCGCATAAACAGGTTTGTAAAGCAGGCAGAATTTGGGGTCTGTTAAAAGGGTTGCCGGTTTGCTTCGCTTAAATGGTGTAATATATTAATTATGATTACTACGTCGATTTGTATGTCATCCGTTTTATGCATATAAGTCTACGTAAGAACTACTTTTGCATTAGTAATTATGAACAAAAAATTTATGCATTTGAGTAATTATTTTTGAATCCAGATCAAAATATTACTACGTCATATATAAAATTGCATTTAGAGAGTATACGTATTAGATATGTAATATCGATATGCTTATCGGATTTTTCGGAGACATTAACAAATACTATCACTTTTTATTTTATGAATATAATCTACTATATATTACGTATACTTCTAATGTTAAGTAACGGAGTTTTTCCGATTTCTAAAAAATTCTGCCGGAGTTTTTCTTAATTAACCGGAACCTCTGGCGTTTTACAATAGAATTTTGTGCTCTGTTATCGGCTATAATCTACGTTGACCCTACCCTTAATTGTTATCATTATAAATTCATTTGAGTGCCGATACTAATTTATTCAACATATATATGAAAAGTTATAGGTTGTCACAATTCAACAAGAATATTACCAGTTTTATTTTTTATAAAAAAAAAGCCCTTGATTAGTTAGTAATTTTGAATCCAAGCCACGAAGCACGAAACTAAAATATTATTAATATTAGTAATGAATTCTCGATTTTCCGATTATCCAGTTAATAAAAAATTAAAATGAATGCGGACATACTTTTTGATAAAAAAAAATTTTAGAGGCATGCCTTTAAGTTAAAGTCATGCTCGGAATCCTATATGTAACGGACTAAAAACTATTTTACTACTCTTAAAGGGAATTACAGTACGTATCAATTACATGCATATGATAATAACTATTCAAAATCTTAAAAATTCATTGTTTTAATTGACGTACAATGACAATTAACCTTATCGCAGATATACGTAAAATATGCGAATGATGTAATACAATTAAAAAAATATAATTTTTTCAGTTACATTTTTCTCTTGAAGCAATAACGATAATAATTCATACTATTCATAAGATGGGACGAAAGAACGTGTAGATTACACTAATAATGGTAAAAATGCAATCTATTTTTCCTAATTCGTGTTTTTATAATAAAGTTACACAATCACTAAATAGGAACAGATGGGTATGATTTTTTTACTTTAACTGCCAAGATAATCTGTAAAACTTATTGTGTGTCATGAATATTTCGATTTATATCACATGACTGTTATAGAGTGTTAATGGATTATCCAATCAAAATTTCTATATAATTTGTCAATTACAATGGATCACTTGATTTGTACAAATAAAAGCACTAAAAAAACAAAAGCTAAAAAATTTTTGAAGGACGATTCCTCTAAATATTTGCGATGTCGTGGAAGCAGCCTTCAATTACTGGTACAAATAATATTCCGTTAGGAAGACGAAGGTTAGGCGGATCTGATGAATATGAAGATTCTTATGAACAAATTAAAGAATCAAGTAGTAGTGGAAATTCTCTTAAAAGATCAAACGAAGAGAACGGGGAACAAACAGGTATTATTACGCGGAAGATATAACCACCCCTCGTAGCATATATCTTAGCACTGCACAATAACATTTTAATGCTTCGCGATATAATAGCCTTAAGATCTATAAAATTCAATTTTTTTTTTATTGTTCACACGTTTTATCTATAATGCTTGGATACAGTATTTCCAAGAAAAAAAAAAAAAAAAAAAGAAAATATCTAACTTTTTAAAAAAATATAAATTAAAGACGTATATACTAACAGTTTGTTAAATTGCGTTTCGTTATTCGCTATTAATTTTTTTTTATGCGAAATTCACAACTCTTCATGTCTCTCCAAAACCGTTTCGTCAACTAACTGGAATATTTCAGATGGAAGTGAGGAACGTAAACGTAAAAGAAGAAGCAGGTGGGGCGGGGAGGAATCGAAAGTCAACATTCCAGGTTTACCGACTGCCATTACTTCTAATATGTCAAAGGAACAACTAGATACATACCTGCGTAATTATTTTATATTTTATTATTATTTTTTTTGGTGGATGATCATTAACACTTATAATAATAACAATAACTTAATAATTTAATCTACCGTTTAAATAGTTCATATGAGATTAGAAGAAATCGGAAGAAAATTGAGAACTGGTGATTATGTTCCACCTGAGAGGGAGAGGTAGATTTATTGATTTCAAAATATTTTAAATTATAATAAAAATTTTATATTATCTATACACAAATATTAATAATAATTATAATTATATTATATTATAATAAAGATCACCGTCTCCGGAACCTGTCTACGACTCTCAAGGAAAACGTGTAAATACTCGAGAATATCGTTACAGAAAGAAGTTAGAAGATGAACGTCATAAATTAATCGAGGAGGCTGTTAAAAGAAATCCTGATTATAAACCTCCTGCTGATTATAAACGTCCAACTAAAGTACAAGATAAAGTCTATATTCCTGCTAAAGAATTTCCTGAAATCAATTTTATCGGTTTGTTAATCGGTCCTCGTGGTAATACTCTTAAAAAAATGGAATCGGAATCTGGCGCAAAAATTAGTATTCGTGGTAGAGGAAGTGTTAAAGAAGGAAAAAGTAGAACCGATGCTGCTGCAAATGCTAATCAAGAAGAAGATTTACATTGTTTGGTTACAGCTGATGCTGAAGAAAAAGTTGCAAAGGCGGTTAAGATGATTAATAAAATTATTGAAACGGTATAGTTTAATTTCTATTTTATATATATTATATTTTATTTATGGTAATTAATTAAACTCATAAAATGTTATTAAAAAATTATGTTTTTTTTTTAGTCTGCTTCTGTACCAGAAGGGCAAAATGAACTTAAACGTCAACAATTACGCGAGTTAGCTGCTCTTAATGGTACTCTTCGCGATGACGAAAATCAAATTTGTACAAATTGCGGTGCTACTGGTCATCGGAAATATGAATGCACTGAATCTCAAAATTTCACCATTAATCTTACATGCCGCATTTGTAGCGGTCATGGTCATACTGCAAGAGATTGCATGGAAAGAAATAATCCTGAAGCTTTACAACAAGCTAAACAGAGAGATCAAAAGTTAGATAGTGAATATATGAGCTTAATGGCCGAACTCGGTGAAAACGTTGATGCGTCAAGAACTAATGAACTCGGTGTGAAAACTGTACGTTGTCTTCGAAATATATTTTAATGAATGCATTTTATTATTTTATATAATTTTAATTTACATTTTTAATTTATCTCATTTATATATAGGGCCATTATGGACCTTCTAGTGGACCCAAGCCTCCATGGGCTGCACAATCTGTTGCTACTCCTCCGTGGGCAGCGAAGCCAAATGTTGCTCTTTCCGGTATTCAAACGGGTTTACCACCTTGGCAACAACCTGTAGCTACATCTGCAATTCCACCACCGCCTGGTATAATATAATTAATTACTTATATTTATTTACTTATATTAAGTATTTATTTGTACGTGTTAATCTGAATATAATTTTGTTTCATAGGTTTGTCAAATCCACCACCGCCACCACCAGGATTATCAACTGCTACAACTACTTGGAATACTAGTAAATTAACATATCCGCCTCCACCCGGATCTTCTCTTTATCCTACTGCACCTACTACAAGTACTATGTATCCGCCACCCCCTACTACCTTAAATTATGCTTATTCTACTTATGGTAGTACAGCTTATTCTGCTTATAGTACTGCTGCAACTTATTCTGCAGCTGCGGCGGCTGGATATCCACCACCACCGCCTTCTGCACATTGGGTAATTATTATTAATTATTTTACATTTGGTTCGCTTGAACGTACTTTTTTACCTTTTCTGTTATATATATATATATATATATATATAGCAACAACAGCCGCCACCTCCACCTTCTACCCCCGCTCCACCACCACCGCCTCCACCACCGCCGCCACCACCAAAATGAAGTTCTGATTTCCTAATTACTAATCCGACTAATCTGCTGCTCAACAGCAATGATATTTTACTCACAAGGATACTTGATGATTATTGATTTATAATTAACGTATTAGCTGCTCAGAGATCTCTATCCTTTCTTTTTGACCTAACAGGACGTGTTTGTTTTCAGTTTTTGCACGATATATTTCAGATTCGATGTACTAACATATTTAGTGAATCTTATAAAATCGGTACTTTATTTTATAGGAAGAATAGAATAAACTGATGTATATTCATTTTTTTTTTTTCACATTAACACTATTAAGACTTTAAAAGTGTTGTAAATTATCATTATTATATATTTATTTATTTATTTTTAGAAAAAAAGATCATTCGTAAATCTAGAAATTATTATTAATTTATATAGACGCTCTAGGTTACAGCTTATGTAATTGACTCATTAAGGTGCTAATCTTAATTAATAACTTCTACCAAATAATGCATATCTTTTAGCAAATGCGTCACAGGATATACATTTTGTTTCGCCAGGCACGATAGCAGGTTCTGTTGGTTGTTCAAATGGAATACAGAGTGATTTAGCACCCATCGATGGAGCTTTATCGTCTTCAGGCTCTTGTTCAGTATTACTGTAAAAAAAGTTGTAAGGTCAATTTCTTATTCGTCAATAAAAATAAAAAGTGTTATTATTCAACTTGCCTTCTTGAACTTTTTTCTTTGATTTTATCTTCACAATGTTCTTGTTCGCACCATGGAACAAGTACAAAATTTTTGCCATCGAGAGCTGGAACAAATTCATCCCATTTTTGTATAACTTTAACATGCTCATCGTATACTTTTTTCGCTCTTTCAAACATGTCCTTTTGGATAGTATTAAGTATGTCGGAAACACAAGTTGTAAGTTTATCCAATGGAACTGGCTCTTTAACACCATTATCGCGGCGAACAGAAAGAGTTTGATTGTTGGTTAAATCGCGAGGACCAATCTCTAATCGAAGAGGCACACCCTTTCGTGCGAAAAAAAGATAAAATTGTTGAGGCCAGTCACCATTATTATTATTATTATTATTAAGAAAATATTGTTTATTACCCTCAATTCCCAGTGATTAAACTTGTATCCTGGGGTATAGGTGTCCCTGAGATCGGATTTCGCTTTTATGCCAACAGAATTTAATTCTTTCACTACATCATTGATTTTTTCTTCTACGCGTTTTTTTTCCTCTTCAGATGTCTTTACAGTTAAACCGCAAGGAATAACAATTACTTGAATAGAGGCGACCCGTGGAGGCAACACCAAACCTTTATCATCACCATGAATCATGACCATTACACCAATGCTTCGAGTCGTTAAACCCCAAGAATTTTGCCATACATGAAGTTTCTTTGCTTCTTTGCCTTCTGAGCTCGCTAAAGCACTAGGATCTTCAACTACAATATCGAACATTTTAGCAAAATTTTGACCCAAGCAGTGAGATGTTGCTGCCTGAATTCCACGTCCTGTAGTTGGAATAAAGCCTTCAATAGTGGTAGTGTAAAGTCCACCGGCAAATTTTTCTTTCTCAGATTTGACACCTTTGATAACAGGGACAGCCAGTAAATCCTCATATACTTGTCGATAAAGTTCAAGTATCTGACGAACTTCTGTATCAGCTTCTTCTTTGGTGAAGTGAGCAGTATGACCCTCTTGCCATAAAAATTCACGAGTTCTAATAAAAGGTTCTAATAAATAATAACATTAAAGACCAAAAGTTAAGTAAAAATTATAGTTATACAATCAACTCCGAACCTTTTTATAACGAACTTACTCTATAATGAACTTTTTTTTTTTTTTAGAATAAAAAAAAAAAAATAGTAATAATAGAGTTCGGTATAGAAACATAGCAAATTATTCTACAAGGGCTTCATAAATTTTTTACTATAAGAACGGGCAGTTCGTTATAAAGAGGAAATGATCCGTGGGTAGTAAACGATAAACTAGGTGATGCATGCAATTTCATGCCTATTTAGAAAAAGGTAAACATACGAGGTTTTTTGAATTCCCAACGAACAACATTACACCATTGATTGAGTTTTAAAGGTAAATCACGATGTGTTCTGATCCATTTGGAGAAATAAGGATACATTACGGTTTCAGAGGTAGGACGGATAGCGATGGGATTTTCCATATCAGAAGATCCTCTAAAATTTATTGAATAAAAAAAATTCAATATTAATGATTCGATCTATCCGAATAGTAGTAAATCCTCCTGACACTTACGCTTTAGTGACCCAAGCCACTTCCGGGGCAAAACCTTCAATATGATTTTTTTCTCTTTCCAATTGTCGTTGCGAAACAAACATTGGAAAATAAGTATCTTCGACTCCCAATTTTTTGATCGCAGAATCGAAAAAACCTATAATTAAAATAATTAAAAAATAAATAAGTCTAGATCACTTTAAAATTTCAATCATTAAATATAGTAACGAATTTTACTTTGAATTTCATGCCAAATATTATAAGCCAATGGCCTGATAATATAACATCCAGAGACTTCTTCATAATATTCCAGCATTTCCGAGCGTTTCAGGACCTTGAATTACATAATTAGGAAAGGAACACAGAAACCTGTGATATATACAACTTTGAGCGAAAGTAATGCATACCTGAGTATACCATGTAGAAAAATCTGCATCCTTCCTAACTTCAATTCCAATCTGAGAAGCTCCCTCAATATGAACTTAAAAAGTGATAACATAAAATGATATATAGAATAGCCAATAAGGAATAATAATGGATTATATTTTTATATTACGTACCCTCGGCCTTTTTCGTGTTTTTTTTTTTATTCGACATGTTTGACGTCTCTGGATGAACGCGATGGCTATGAGTACGTAGATTTTTTTTAACCCGCAACCCAAAAAACGTGAAGTCTCGTGATTTGCGATCACACTTTATTTCTTAGTGATATTTTGTAGATCACCACATAAATGAAAATTTAATTTACATATAAAAATTTTTTTATAAAAATTTTTTTATAAAAATTTTCAAAATTTGACCCGGCCGGGTTACGGGAACCAATTAATTAACTTTGCATGGCCTAATATATTTTTTTGCTAAAATTTAAAAGTTAGAATACAGTTGAAAATACAGTATATAGAAGAGTTATATAGTTCAAAATTTAAATTATTCAAGTTTTAAATATTTTATTAATCTATTTTCAACTATATAAAATTAAAAATAATATTTTTAATTATTATTTAAGCTTTTGATATACCTACTGCAAATGAAAATAAAATTTAAATAAATTTAAATTTTTTTACTATAGCTAATACTGAAAATTAATATATTTTAATAAAATTTTCTGTAGTATATTGTTTTTATACTGAATAAAATTAGGTTTTAGAATTACTGTAAAACATAAGTATCATAAAGCTTATACTGTATTTCAAAGAATCAAAGAATTCAAAATCAGATGAGTTTACCTATGTATAAAATTGATGTGTTCCAGTAAATTAGTAAAAATAATTCCGCTTTAAATATTAAAATTAATTCAAATGCACTTAAATCTCACTACCACGTACAACGTACCCTGTTAAGAGCGGATTAATCAATAAAAATATATAAGAAATTTTGTACACATGGATTCTATCGGGTGTAGGATAAGAATCGATCTCAAATGATTAGAATCATATCAAACCAGTCGGTTTATTTTATGTAAGTAAATTATAATCTTTGATATAGCTAGATGAAGGTTCATTTGTAAAAAAATATTGGCTATATGTGCAAACCCAATCGGGTTCGAATGCAGTATAGCAATTTTTTATTAAAATTATTTGTTCTGAACCTTTTAGTTCGTTACGGTATATAGAGGTTCGGTAGAGTGTGACTTACAAATAATTGAACTAGTCTATTTTATTTTACATCGGACATTTTAATGGGCACTCGCACCTTGCGTTGCATAGTGTTCAATAAGCCGCTCCAGATTGAAGTTGGGATCGTTCGGATCTGTTACGACTATTTTTAATAAAAAAAAAAAGGAGATACGTTATATAATTAAATCCCTATATGAATACATATTATGATTTAATTAATTCACATTTTTGTAGTAGATTTTAAATACAATCTAACCCAGGATTCTATTTGTTGTATAATTTCATTTATCAAGAAAAAAAAAAAAAAGGAAAAAAAAAAATACCGTCGGTAGAAGAACTCTTTTTAGGGGCATAATAAGCTGCTTTTGCTTTATTAATTAACTCTTCTTTATGGCGATATTTGATAGCGGCCCTTTCTTTTACTGCAGATTTCTTTAATGAATTGGAATGCCATAAACCATAAACAACTCCAAGAGGCAACGCGGTCCAACGTGCAACCTGTAATTTATTTATTCATTCCCCAAAGCGTTGCCATTCGAGATCATATAGTATGGGTATACTTGCTTATCTAGCCAATAACATAACAACTAAAAGCACTTACATTAAGATTTATTGAAGCCATCATTTAAGATGATGATAAGTCATCATAACGGTAAGTCGTAACCTGCTAATCATAAATGATCTGCATCTCATCTTCAGGATAAACAGATAAATTTATTATTTCGTAACGTGATATAACGTGATTCATATTTTTAACCTTTTGGTTGACCGTTTTAATTAATTCAAGACCAGAAAATGGGTTGTTATATTGTAAATATTGTTATTCGAAAAATTTGATATCATAAATTTTTAACGAATTCAAATTTTATATAACGATTTGTTGCATTATCTTAAAAAACTGGCTAACTAATTAATATGCGATACTCTAAGTAAAAATGCTCTACGTCCTCCAAAGCCCTTTCTAAGACTAAATACTAACCCCAACAGGAAAAATTTATACTAATAAAAAACTTACCATATAATCCATGTAACGATAATGTTGGCCAAAATCAGCGTTAAAAAAATTTAGATCTCTGATAACCATGTTCATTAACTGTCTATCATCAGATCTTGCTATCTAACCAATAAAAATTATTATACGAAAATGTCTATTTAGAAAAATTTGGGATCGATGGAGAGCAAAGTAAGAGATACTTTGTTTTTCGAAAATTTTTGTTCAAAAATGTCCTTGCTCTTTACGCGCTTTTCCCGTTCTACCTCTCATATTTTTAGGACAGACTCCTTTTCTATTCCTATTTGGCCGCAAAAAAGAACAAAATCTAATACTTCCACTAATAAATCAGTCTCTCCAGTACAAGATCTTTTAAAAAATCAAAACAAATGGAGAAAACAAATTCAAATCGAACGTCGACAAGAACTGAAAAAATTGGAAGAAACTGAAAAGATTCTATCTTTATCTTCAGAACAAAAATTTATTACTCCTGGATATCGACAGCAAAAACGCGAAGCAGGAATTCAAAATTATAAACGTTTTCAATCAATGAAACGTCAAGAAGGATTAAGCCATTTATTGAGTTTATATCATGATTCTTCAAATTTTGTAACTTTAAATAACTTGGACGCCAAAATAGATGAGGCTTTTACTAATCCACATCCCAGAAATGTTTATGCACATGCATTAGAAGATATGCAAATTGAATATCAAGAAGCTAGTGGTGGTGTTAATGAAAATGAAATTTTAAGAAGGTTGGGTCAAATTAAAGATATTTTAGATGGAACGTCTCATTCTGGAATTCATTTAGGATTGGATATGATAGATCCACCTACTGAACCTGTTGAGGAGCAAAAAGAGCATGAGCAGCCAAAGAAATCATCTGTAGATTAAGAATTATTTAAAAAACGTTTATAACTGGTCCAAAACAAAATAATGTTAACTTTTGTATATAATTATACAAAATTTATATTAAAAAAATTATTTATTACAGGACCTAAGAATGTGTCAGGGACGTGCTCAGTTAGAACTTTAAAAAAAATAAAATTTATTTAAAAAAAGGATTGGTCAAATACAATTTCAACGTTAACCGATATATGATTGCACACATGTCTATATACTATTAACACTTCAATGTATTTCTTCATGCTACGCAATGAATCTAATATGTTTGGTTTGTTATTTTTTTCATGAAAATTTCTTGATCCAACACTTATTTTACATAGAAAATTACAAGTAGGGCTTCTCAAGGTTAAATCAAGTATTTAGCTACAGTAATTTGAATTTAGTCAAATAGAATTAGGTCTATTTAATTTAGGTTTTTAGTAGTAAGTTTTTTAAATAATTTTAATAACTAAAAAGTGTTTTTTAATTACTATACCTACTAATATTATTCAAAGTATTTTATGTTTTATTAGTTACTATACTTATTGGTTAAGCATGCTGTATTTAAATTTTATATCATAAAAAAATTAAACTTGGTTTAGTTATTTTAGTTATATATATATAGGTTAAATATGTACTTATTTAATAAAAAAATTATTGCAATTAATACTTTAAAAAATTGATTTATTACAGTATTATACGGTACTGTATACAAAAATATCAGTATATAGTACTATATTGAGCTTATAGTTACAAGATACAATATATTTAATTTTAACTACTGTATATCTTAAAATTCTAATTATAAAACAGCTTTTAAGATTCTAATATATCAACCCTAAAGCTAACAGGTTGTTTTGTGATTTATATACGTATTATACAAATTTGTAATAAATTAATAATTAATAATACATACTGTATATATGTAACAGTTCTGTAACATATACTGTTAATCGGTCCCGCAGTAATTGTCAGCTGACTTTGAGCAAAATTTGTAAAAATTGGCATTATTAACTGGAATAAGTAGAGTCATAGAGTAATTTTTTAATAACATTTTCTAATAAAGTTTTTTCTCATCAGTTTTTAAGTAATTTAGATGGGACTGATTAGAAAATGTCACAAAAAATTGCTTTCTATGACTTTACTTATTGCACGAATAGTAATTGTATCGTAAAATAATCTAAGAGGCCGTTTGAAATATTATAATAAACAAATTTGGAATTTAATATAAAACTGTTTATACAATAATACATAAATGGTCTTTCTTACGTATAAAAGCATTTTTTTTTACTAGGTGACTTCTTTTCAACTTCCAATTGAATAGTATATACTGTAGTTAATATTAATTTTTTACCTATGCTTTTTTCTCAATATCAGAAAAGTACGACAATATGGGTTCTTTCACAGCAAAGCCCATGCTTAGAATATATAAAATATACAGTATCGGTATATACTCTAAAGTAATAGTAATACTGCGCCGGATTTGACTAAAAGGCTTGCCCTTTAACTGCAAACTACCCCTTAACTATAATGATAAAATAATTATATATATCGGATATTACTAATAAAGATTAAAATTTAAAAATAAATGAAGTAATAAAAAAATTAATATCTTATACAAACTTTAATATATCGGCAAAATAATAATATTTCATCAAACAATAATTAAATTTACTCTCCTGATCTGCATGACGTCTCGATCAACTTGGACATAGTCGGCTAAATAAATTTTTAAATATCGACTTAAACGTTAGCTAGTAAAATAAGATTCGACTGAAACAATATTTATATTTTGTGTTACATCAAATATCAAATGAATTGAATTGTGTTAGTACTGGTTCGTTAATAGAAATTGAATTAACATCTAATTTTATCAATGTATGTTTATATATAAAGTTTTTTTATTTTTATGCATACTTTAAATAAAAATATTTAGATAATCGCATTGAGTTACATGTTATGGTGTACAGCGAATATAGATAAGAATTTGTGTTTAACATCGCATGTAGTAATAAATAAATCATAATAGCATTGTTCTCAAATCTTGAATAGTACCTTTTTGCAAATTTCAAAAAATTAATTACACAAATTGAACATCCTTGGCCAAAATTTAAAGGACATAAATTTCACATTATCCACTGACATTCCTTTAATGAAAAATATTTAACAAAAAAATCTTAAGATACAAATTACTTCAATATTTGTACAATATATATAATAATAATAGAAAAATAATATATGGTATATGGTATCGCAATAAGTTAATAATATCGTCCTCAAAATTTCAATGTTTCATTAAAAATACATCAAACGTTAAAGAATGAAATTAGCTAATTTCTTGCTTATAAGTCATAGAAATTGTTCCTATCATCTGGCTGTCCCTTCTGTTGTCAAAAACGCCGCACCTATGTTTAGTAAAAAAAAAATACATAAATAAAATTGTTTAAAACAGAAGCAATAAAAATCATTGTATTAATTGTTACAAACCTCCACCATATCCATAACCCTAAAAATAAAAAAATTTAAGTCATTAAATGTAAAGAATATAAGTGAATGAATTTTCATTAATTTCATTATTATTATTACCTTTGGTCCAAATTCTCTGGAGTAACAAGAACTGCAGTAAAGTTTACCATCACGATCTGTTATGTTAGTAGAATTTAAAAGCTTACTGCAAGTTTCGCAACGTAAACACAATTTATGATATTTTATTCCAGCTCCCATAACCTATCGATAAAAATATTATTATTTTATGCATGATTATACGAAATTTTTAAAGAAAAAAAGGATCTTTACCGCTTCTGCCGCGTAAACAGCTTTTGTACAGCGCGGACATATATCGTTACTAACAGGAAAAGTCCAGCTTCGTTTAGGGCCTTTTGAAGATTGAGGTTTAGTACTGAAAATCCCATAAGTTTCTGATGAAGGATTAGTTGCCGACTTTGGTGGCGATTGTGAAACTTTGTCCGAATCCGCATCATTTTTTGAAATACCATTGGATTTTGAGACTGGTTTATCAGTACTAAGAAAAGATGTGCCAGATGCAAAACCATAACCTTTACAAATAATTGAATTTCGGTTATTAAATATGTTATTTTTAAGAGGTTAAAATGTTGGTAGACTTTAAAAAAAAAAAACCTTTTGGTCCGAAACGACGACCATGACAGGTCTTACAATATGCCTGTATTGCATAAAATAAACATGTTTTATCATCATTGCCTCCTTTATCAAATAATCAATTTTAGTATATTAGTTAATTATATTACCTCTCCATCATGTTCTGCAAGGGCGTACGAATCTAAGCGCTTCTTACAATCCTTTAAATATAAAAACATAAACAGATATTAAACAAAAATATTAAAAATTACAAATAAAGAAATTTCGTGTATGCTTACAATGCAAGTGAGACAAGCTCTGTGCCAAGGTCCAGTAGGGCCAATAACCTATATCAAATTATTAATAACCAAGTTTTATTACAACTCTTCGAGAATTCAACCGACCTGGAAGTAATTCTGAAAATAATTTAGAATTACCTGTTCGGCCATATATACTGCTTTGTTGCAGCGTGGACACTGTGGAGTACTGCCCCAACGTGAAGACATTATGAATCTACCTTAATATAAGATAAATACTTTCGTTATAGGAAAGGTGTAGTAAAGATATTAGACCTTATTTCTAAGAATTCAAAAAATTCTACGGAGTAGCATGTATTTATAAGGGGGTAAATTCGTGAAGATTGTAATCAATTCGGTGTGTAAAAAGATCATATTGGCTAAGAAGATTTCCAATTATGGAATTATGATATTTTGCGTTAAATAAATAATGATTCACAAAATATTTAAATAATTTAAATAAAAATTGTGTACGATTGGATAGATTCCTATTGATAGGTTCCTCGATTTATCATGTCCACATCGGAAATAAAACAATTTATACAACTAAGCCTTGAATGGCAGGAAAAGCTTTATGAAACAGTTCCTCTAGATATTTTACGTGATTCGGTACACAACCCACAAACCCCACCCCTCCTCTTTTCATATTTTTCACATACCCATTGCTAATATATAAGTTCATATAGGCGAAATACATACTGCCGCATCAATATGACGAGATAATTGAAGAAAGGAACGCAAGTAAATTGTGTGGGTACCCTATTTGTTCAAAACCTAAACAAGTATATATACTTTTTTGTATTTAATTTTCATTTTCGAATTAACCCTAAAATACTAGTAAATTATTTTGTATTATAGGAAATTCAAGGTCAATTCAGGATCTCGTATCATGCAAGAAAGATCTATGATATATCTGAATTGAAATTTTACTGTTCAACAATATGCCTTGCTTCTTCTAAATATTTCTATATTCAATTATCGGATGAATCCTTGCATTTGAGAGATTTACAAAATTGGAAGCCTGTGGATGTAATTCCACTTGGGGTAGATCCTAGGTAATCCTTCTAATAATGATAAAAGATTTTGTTACATTTTTATTTTATTTAACTATTTATATATTTAACTAAAAATAAAAATTTTCTATTTTGAAAGAGATCTAGTAAAACAAGATCAGTCTACAGAAAAAAATACTCATCAGCGTATCGATTATGTCGAAAACCTGATGGCTGATCTCCCACCTGCACCTCCTGGATTAGTAATCAAGGAAAAGGACGACAATGAATTGGGTACGCCATTGGCACCATCACCTAATCAACAAGATACATATGATGCTGTCGAAGGCTTCCGCGTAGACCTTCAAAATGAAAAAAATGGTTCACCCCCTACTTTAACGTTGCAAAAAGATGTTCCCATTGTTAATACGAAAGTACCTCAAAAAGATGTTCCCATTGTTAATACGAACGTATCTCAAAAAACTGTTAAAGAATGTGAGTCAACTATTCCGACGACGAATTCTGTGACGAATTCTGTGACAGATTCTGTGACAGATTCAAGCGAAAATGTACAGACTCCTATCAATTCGGATATTAAAAAAATATTACCTAAAAAACGAACTACAAAGAAAAAGAATGTCGTTTTACAAATGTCATTGTTTGGTAAAATTTGGACAGCCCTAGATAGATTGACGACATCAAGAACCAGGAAACGTTTTCAGAAAGTAAACTCTATTAATTTGGAAAATGATGATTCAATGCCACTTTCTGATGATAGTCTTATGAGAATACAAATTTTCAATGAGAAAATTATGCAATGGTTAGATTTAAAAAAATTTTTAATATATTTTATGATTTGAGAAGGTATAAATATTAATTATTTTTAATTTGTAGTTACTATCATCTTAAGAAACAACTTTGTATCACTACCAACATTGAGAGCGAACTTATTAAACTCACAAGTACTTTTAATTTTGACAATTCTTCTGTTATGTTCGGCGATTTAGAAAACCTTATATTGTGTATGGTCTTTATATACGCGTGAGTAATAATTATATTGTTATAATTCATCTGAGATTGGCAGAGAGTAGGATCGATTTCTATTCTAGTGACAATTTCGTCGATAAAATTTAAAATTACTGCAGACCGGTATGCATGGGTGACTAGAGTAGGTGCACAGCACCTAGTTTAAACCTCAATAATATGTAATAACACAGAATCAGTATGCTACGATTTAATCACCCGTACATACTGATCTGCGTGATTTAGCATTTACGATGGGGTTCAGGAGTTAGGGCTAGAAGACGCAGTATTGCAAGTTATACAAAAATTTATCATTGAACCCAATCAATTTATTAAAGTTTAAAACGAACATTTGTATGAAAGGAAAATCAATTTTATGTTCTCGCGTTGTTAATTCGTTTATCGGTGATTATTTCTCATATATTTTAGGTTATCAATCGATATCCCAGAACTTTATGGAAATATTTTTACGTCAGAAAACGATAAAAATGGACCATTTAAAGATTTGCTTGGGAGCTTAAAACTTACGATAGAAGAGATGGATGCGTTTGTCAGAGTAATTCGTGTTGGATCGACATGAAAATACAATAGCTCTCTTTTATATTGAACTCTGCCGGCTAGTGATTCTAGTCAATAAAGAAAAAAAATCTGCTAAAACTAATTTAGGCTTCGCCGGTAGATTTTTTTAAAATCTGCTGATCAATTTCTTATAATAATAATTCACGATTTTGGTCATTGTAATCAAAATATTTCATACTGTATCATTATATATAGGACATAGTATGTAGTGATGTAGTCAAATAATGTATTTAGATCAATAAAGTAACACAAGATTTTAATTGGAATTAAGATTTTTTTTTAATTATCATCATACTACAGATTCGATACCAAAATGATGTAATTTAAATCGATCCTGTTATATTAATAATATTAATCACGTGAAATGTCTATTTTAAATTATTTGATCGTTTAACGCGACTTATAAACTCATTTCTTTATGTTTAGCGACTAGTTAATATGGCAGATAATTCACCATCATTAAAAGTAATCATAATTGTGTCATCAAATTATTTGAATTTTTCAGATACCATTTTAATATCTGATATTGTCTTTTATTAATAGCGTAAATCATTGCAAGAAGACACGGTCTCTGAAAAAGTGTGTATACAATTTTTAATTTCAGTCACAAATACATATATGTATATATGCATATATCTGATAGATATGCGTTACGCATAGGAAACTATCGAGCGTCGTTTACAATTACTCCAAGAGCAACTCGATAAATTACGAACTGAAGAGGAAAGTTTAAAAAGTCAATTACAGTAAGTTTATTTCGATTGAGATTTAATGTTATCTGACTTGAACTAATCTCAACTTTTGATTATGACTTATGAGAGGAAATGTGGATATTCAAAAAGCTTTAGATGACCACTATCGTCTTTTACATGAATATAACGCAATGAAAGATATTGGTCAAATGTTGTTCGGAAAGGTAATGATGAAGACATTAAATCATTCAATTTACATTTTTCAATACACTTATTTTTTATACAAATATTATACATGAAGTGTGCCGAACTTGACGGTACAACAACAAAAGAAATATATGAGCGGTTTGGATTAGAACTTGACGATTAAAAAAATCTGGGTTAAATGATGCACCGGCTTTATATTTTGCAGTAACATTAAAATGACATTTATTTTGTTATTAAAAATAATGATGTCATTTAAAACTCAAAAAAAAAAGGAAAGCGATTTACGTAATGTTTGTTTCTTGGTTCTTGTAAAATGTAATACGATTCAAATTTATTGAATAAGCCGTACAATGATATACTCGAAAATTAAAAATCATATTACCGAAAAATATATATATATATACTACTATTATACTACGTATAATCTTGCCGTTGTTTAATAATAAATCATTCAAGCAGAAATTGTATAAGATCTGGGTATTAAGATTTAGTTAATTATTTTCAAATACGTAACGGTTTTAATGATAGCAACTTGTATACTCATTTTTGGTTAAGTATCCATAGATAAAACTCGTGCACTAAAAAGGCAATGCACTACGGTAACAACCTGTAATTAGCAAATCAAGTATTTTTATAAAGTGTGGAAATTTGTAAACGCGACAATATATATATCAAAAAGCGTGAGCGATCTTTTACCGGGAAGGTTGTTTTACATCATATGGAACGTCTCGCAATTCTAAAAAAAGTTTATTTTTTATTTAATTTTTAAATAGGCATTAAGATTTGCTATTAGTCACAAGAATCTATATATATAATTATACAGTATAATAAAAGTCCATATACGGTTCGGCAACCTGCCAACCGTGATTTTATCTAATCCGGAGTAAATTATGCCTAATCGATTAATCCGGTTAATTTATAATAATGATAAATATATGTAACAATGAACAACGATTTTTATAAAGGCTCTTATATGGATTTAGAAGTTGCCTAATTTTGTTTAGTGTCATCACAGGATCGAAAATTTCGATCAAAGTCACATGTTCGGTGAATTATCTATCTATAGCTCGACAGTGTTAATGTTAACGTTAAACAGTAAAAAATTATAATTTTTTGCCAAACTAACTTACATCTTTATTAATTTTTATAATTACTGATGATACATTAAAGAAATTTCAAAAGTTTATAAAATAACTCGAGTTCGAAGCTTTAAAAAAATAAATTTATATTGTTAATGATAATGATGCACATTAGTCATCGAACAAATTGCTCGACGTCCAGGCCACACCACGAGGAGGTTTGCATCATGTGACCCAAAGGAGTTTAAAATTTGTGAAATTTAAAAAAAAAATACTAAATCTACAAAGAAAGGGTATAATAAGACAAAAGTGTATTCGATTATTTTTCAATTCATTTATTTCCCGATCTTTTAAAAAGATCTCGAAATGATAAAATACGATACCGATAGTGTACCAAGTCATCGGTAAAGTGATTCGCATTTTTCGGCGTCTGATAGCGAATCAATGGTAATAACAGATAACCGTGACAGTTTGACCATTTTGCCCACATTTTTATGGATCGATTTGTCACGACGTTGTTTATATTAGTTCATACCGTAACTTCCCCTCTTCGAAAACAACGAAACAAATAAGGGCCGTCTATGAACTAGTTTTCCCCCAGGGACAAGACAATCTATCAACTTATAAACCTTGCTAATATTGCTCGCTATGGCAATTTTATGTAATCTCAGTACATCAGTTTTTCGGGGGTAGGTTGGTTCTTTGCTTTAAGAACCAACAAGAAAAAGCCCGGTTTTAACGATAACCGGATTATCGTAACTATAAATAAATGAAATAAAAACAATATTAAATATCTAAGCATAAAAATGAAACAAAACATAATATATAAAACAGAAATAAAATAAAAAGTACCTATCAGCTATATAGCTGTAATTTCAACTTCGTAGACGCGAGAAAACACGATGCTGAAAAAAAAAGAGAAGTTGAAAATGCGACCACATGGGCGACTGATCGGTAATTCACCCGGTCAGACCGGAATCACCGAAGCAACCTAACTTCTCCAAACCTATGTGGAAGTGGGCGGTACAACGAATAAAATAACGGGCGGAAAAGGAAAAAAGAACAAGAACGATGAAAAATTTGGTATATATAGTATGACATCATTTCGTATGACGTCATTTCGGGATCGTGAGAAATGCACCAATCACGAATACTGGAATATGCACAATATTTTTTACGTTAGAATTAGGATCATAGCTAAGGACTATACCAAAAATTTTTTTGTTAGTGCGCAGAAGGTTGTTTCATAAACAAAATTTTGAGTTATCGACAGTTTTTTAAAAGAAACGTTATGGAGATGTCGTTCATCAGTTAGGGCTCTGACATTTATTACCTAATATCCATTTACTATAGAGGTTTACCCCCCCCCCAGGTAAGGTATTTGATTGGCTATAAGTGTTTTATATGAGGTAAGGTTTTGCTTGACCCCCCACCCCCTAAAATATTACCTAATAAATGTCAGCACCCTTATTAAATGGTGCATCTTTCACGGTCCTGTTTAGAGGTCCGAACCGGATGCAAATTTATCACCCGGATCACCCGTATAACTGAAATCGGGTACCCGGGTAAAAACGGGTTATACGGTATAGTGTGATTTACCAAAATTTACTTTAACTGCTATTAATTTTGGTTTATTTTTTTTTTTTTACAAAGATTACTTGTGCTGTTGTAATATATTTATTAGGATTTAGGATTCCATAAATACAATGTCGTTTTGAGCTAAATTTTGATTTTGGCAATTTTTTTCTTAAGTTTTTTTTGAAGTTTTTTTTTTTTGTAATTTTTATTTTATTTATCACTTTTTGATTTTTTATTTATTTTATTTTTATTTTTATGATAATTAGTCCTCATACCCATTAAATGTAAGCAACTGTTAATCTTCGAATATATATCGATATATTTTTTTATAACATAATAAATAAAAAAAGTACATATAAAAATTTTTATCTTTTATACAGTATCATGCAATATAGCTAACGATTCTGATAACTGACATAATCGAATTTATTTATTTTTTTTAACTGTTATAACTTTGATCGAATTTTTTTTTTAAAAAAAAAATATATATTTATTATGATTTTGATCAATTACTGAAGCGAATTTTGCGTTATCTTATAACCTTGCAGACGGATGTTGGAACCCATAAAGGCTTACCTATTGTCTGGACTTAACTTCCTCCGCTCTGCTCCGGAAATAATCCACCCTAACCAAGATTCGTTAAGATAGAATAGTGAATAGAAATAGCAGTGAACTTTTCTACTATCGCGAATTGGTTAAATATGTCCTTCATACCTAATCGGCCATACAAAAAGTTCATTAAGAGCTTAG